TATTCAGATTACGATGATCTAAATTTACACAATAAAAGTAGAAAATAGATTCATATCTTCCAATGCAATGAATGATCACATTACTTAAAAGCATCTTTGATAACATTTGAATTTCTTTTGAATATTATTAAACAAATGGAATGAATAAATTCTTCAAGTCTGTATGGGAAAAAAAACGAACTGTACAAAACGTATACATGTCTAAAGTACCTTGATTCAATGTTGAAAGTAAACCGATGAACGATTCGCAGACATCTTTGTGTATACGTTTTCAATTTTCAGAAAAAAAATTAAATCAAAGATAGTAAGAAACAGGAAATTCATAGAAATATTCAACAACAAAAAATATGTCATATTGATCATGAATGACAAAATATATCGAACAATTTAAAAGTTCCCTTTCAGTATGTTGTAGGTAATCAGTATTTCAAAGATTTGTAAAAATCAAACATTGATTAGTTTGAATTTTTAATGAACACTGAATAAGATCATGGAAACTGTTATAAAGATTATAACCATGTAATCAAATATAAAGTTTAAAACAACTCAGCTATCTGTGAAACATTTTGTGCCAAATTCACTTGCTTTTGTTTGTTTGTATCTTCTCACTATCCATCTTTGCTTATAAAGCTTGTGATTGATGGTAATATCAAGATAGTCCGCACAGGATACATATATGCCAACAAGAGACTGATCAATTGCAGTGGTAAGTATCAATGGGAAGATTCAAGTAAACCAAACGAACGTGAATTTTAACTTCACCCCACTGCACAAGCTATGGCTATCAGGACTCAGTAGCTGAGTGGATGACGTAATGGCATTTGGAGTAAACGGTACGGGGTTTGAATCCCGGGGTAAACATCGACTCTGGGATGTAGGTACTTCCAGCTGACAAGTCCCGAATAAGACGAAACACTTGTCAAATGAATACTAGAAAATCATAATCATTGTGAAGACATTTGAGAAAAAGTGAAAATAATGAGAAAAAGAGATATGGACCACATTATTGTATACTTTAATATTAAAGCAAGATTGCCAAAATAGAATTGGTATTAATACTTATTATATTCAGGTATAAAAAAGTGGGTTTCGATTTTCATATATATGTAGCATTCACAAAGCTAAGGATTACCCTAGACAACTTTCACACTAAACCTGAATTAAAATCAACTGTATGACACATCTCAACTATGTTCAATAGTTGTGCAGGATACGCTTTTATCATTCGTTTTTACTGAGTGATTGAACTGTGTATTTTTACAGTCATTTATATACAACTTCAACCACCACCCCACATCTGTTATCGCAATTACTCCGCTCTGAGTACGTGTTCATACAAATGAAAAGCCTTTAACATATCGTAATTTTCACTCAGTCAATTCTTACAATGTACTTACATTCTTTAATACTTTCGGTGGAGTTTTGTTCTCTGAGCTGGATGGTTTGGTCGTGGAGCTTTCATCGTTCTTCTGATCGTTCAGAAGAACGATGAAAGCTCCACGACCAAACCATCCAGCTCAGAGAACAAAACTCCACCGAAATCATCCACCTGAGCTACAAATCTTCTCCACCATTCTTTAATACTGTTTAAGTTCATGTACAAAGTTTCCCATCCTAACTTATTTTTATCTCACCCGTTTGTGCTTTTTAGATAGTTATTCAATTGCAGTTTGGAAAGGATAGAAGGCTGGGTGACCTTTGTTAGTCCTGGCAATGGTGGTTTCTTAGTTGATCCAGTTTTATTCCGAAGGATTTGACAAATATTTCTTCAATCACGTGTTGATATTATGAATTCCATTCGTTGATGATTCGATGGAAAGGTTGATAATCAGCTGACAAGTAATTTGTTCTGGACATTTAAACTTTTCAGAGTGTCCTCGTAAATTTTCTGTTTTGGAATACAAAAAAATGAGGCCATATCAGACGCGAATTGAAAAACTGTAACCAAGTCATCTCTGGTTCTACTATATGACATAAGAAATAAATTTAACTTAACCATAGCTATATATATACAAATATATATATAACATTTTAAATCTATATCCAAATATTTCTGATAGTGATTGGAATTCCAATCATTCATATTCATTTTATAATAATTCTGAGGGGTCCTATACAAGGACGAAACGGCCGTCCAGTGCCTTCAGGTTTTCCGTGGTTGTCTATCTTCAATTGGCTCATGATCTCAACTATCAAAATTACTATAATATCCACAAAACTACTCTCTGATTATTTTAATACTTTTATTTTCAATATGAATAAAGTAGTGAGTATTTGGAGAGAATCCATGATGTCAGGATAAATTCACTTGATGCTGCTCTAGATTTTAATTTTCCTTTAAGTCAAAATCATTAAAGCTCAACAAATTTAAGTCTGTTTGGTCACATTTTAACTAAGCTTCATATTGAGAGCTCCAAATGTGAACTGAAGGTGTTGTCTAATTTCTGATATAAAGTTTTCTACATTATGATCATTGTTGTAAATAAAGTGGACCAGTTTTTCAGGGACTTTAAATGAAGGTTTAGCTTACGAAACAGACCTCTTGTTAGTGTTCCAAATTAGGTCTAACGATTAACTTCAGTTTTATAGATAACACTTAGTCGGCATATTTCAAATATAAATTGTTGACCAGCCTATGCTTTAAAAAGTCTATCTCCATATAAACAATTCACCAGCAAGTAACTAACAGTTGGATTGATACTCTGTGTTTTTACAAAAATTCATTTCTGGTTATAATTATATTGGAACGTTATTTTAAGCATGTTTGGTAACCGCCTTGTACAGTCCGTTCAGTGTTGTTTGCTTGTGTTAACTGTTTGAACTGAGTGATTTCCCTCAAATAGTTTATTTGAAGTAGTAAGTATGATGGATAAGTTCTTTATCAAAAGTAGTGGTAGAAGATGGTATTAGATAGACTGTTGCCATTCTAGGATATATATTTGCTAAATAATAACCTGGGATGATTTGAGAGATTATCAGCCGAGCCATCGTTATCAAGTTATCAATTTAACAAATTTGAATTAATGACAGTGTCACTCTTTAGATTGATTCCTAATGTGTTTGGTTCCTTAGTTTATGGAAAAGAGAAGGTTTTAACCAACATTCGAGATGAAAACAATTTACTATATTGTTTATGTATGTTAGGGAGTTAACGAGTTAGTGAACACTTTATGACACCACTGGCCTCAGTAAATACATTGTTTTACATCCCCAATGGATAAGAGATAGGTTAATCAAACCTTTTCAATTAGTTAACATATAATAACATATAATAAAAAAAAGAAATAATTCTGTAAAATAATTTGTACTTCAGATACAAACCGATTACAATGGCAAAAATGTAAGAAAAATAGGACAAAAGCTTTGTAATCTAAACTTTACGAAAGTTATATCCAAATATTGAGCTTGAATTTAAAAATAGAATTTATGGTCTCTCAAATGAGCTTTTAATCCGAAAACCATTTTATCATATTTCCGATTGATATTTTTACCAAACTTACGGTCACCATATAGCAACACTCCTATGATTAATGTCGATTAGGGTTAACTTTTGTCAAACCCTTTTATTAACTTACTTAAGAGATATTGTTGTTCGGACAGTAACAATTCGTCTATTTCTTTGTATTATTGTGATCAAAGTCATGTCTGTATAAAGGTGTATTCTTCATCAAATGTAACAGCGTACGCATATATATTTTTTTCTAGGTTAAATGTTGATCGCTTAAATATTACTCGATGAATCATTCTTTTCCATATGTATATATGTGCTTGAATCCAATTAATAGCATTTGCATTACCTTTATGAGGTTTGGTTCGATTTGACTAGAAATTTGCCTCTCCATTCGCTTATTCACACACATTAGCCTCCCTGCTCCAATTCGCTCTATATTCTTGTAACATTGTTATCCGTGTTATCCGCTGATAAATTGTAGTCACCGTTTCTTATCACCTGCATTCAAACACTGTTGGGATTTAGATAACGACAGTTATCATGGTGACTGATTAACAAAGCTAAGCCACTACAACCTCTCTATCTCGGGACATATATATATATATAAGTGGAAATGGAAAAGACATAAATTCGGCAAATCATCAAACGGCATCATGAGGCAAGCCCTAACTTGGAATCCTAAAGGGAAGCGAAAAAGAGGAAGGCTGAAGAACACATTACGTCGGGAAATAGAATCAGATATGAAAAGGATGAATAACAACTGAAAAGAGATGGAAAGCATTGGCTAGGACATGGCTGGATGGAGGATGCTGGTGAGTGGCCTATGCTCCTTCACAAGGAGTTACAGGCGTGAATAAGTAAGTAATCAATGGTCATTTTATTCTCAACTAATTATGTTCCCCAAATATTTTAATACTTTAAAATCATTCTACTCGTTATATAATCATATAATCTGTTAGTTGTTTCGATTCAATTAGTTAAGACTTTATTTATAACAAAAAGTATCCAGAAAACGCCCATTTACTATAATACATTTTTAGAATTTTTCAACATTTAAACTTAACTGACTAATCCTTTATATTATCAGACGAGATTTTGTGAAGACTATAGCAATTTTATAATTGAATTCATGTGTCAATTAAAGCTAGACTACCATGGAAAACCTGAAAACACTGAACAACTGTTACGTTCTATTGTTGAACTCCTCAACAGTGCACATCCACAAGGAGTCCAATACTAAGACGAAATGACCGTCCAATGCTTCCAAATTTTCTAGGATGATCTATCTCCAATTAACTCATGAATTCAACTATTCTCTTATATTGTTAACTTAATATTTAAAAATTATAAGTAGCATATAACATAGTCTTCACCAAAAAGATTAAATATAAACTATACTATAAATTAAATAATCTGATTAAAGAATAAATATCATTACAATCATTGTACATTGTTAGCTTTCAATTATAATTTCAATATCATTAGAAATCAAAATTGAATAAATGTATATACATATAAATATCCGCCTTAATTGAAATGAATGTCAGTCATGACTAATAATAATAATAATAATAATAATAATAATAATAATAATAATAATAATAATAATAATAATAATAATAATAATAATAATAATAATAATGATAATAATAATAATAATAGTAATAATAATAATCGTAATCATAATAGTAATGACAATAGCAACAGTAATCATAATGATAAAAGTAGTAGTAATAATAATAACAGTAATAGTAATGGTAATGGTAATAAACGTAAGGGTTATAACCACTTTATATTATTAGTAATATGGTATGTATAATTAATATTATATATTTCGAAGAAAATTCTATTTGACTGGCATTATTGAAATCTAGTAAATAAGTATAAATAGATAGTGAGATTAGTAATAGAACAAAGTAAACTGATTATTATCTATGCATGTTTTGGCACAATTTATTTATTGTTCTATTCATCTTTTGTACATTTCATTGTTTCATATGTTTTCCAATCTTTGATAATGAATGTGGTTCTACACCATTTATATTTAATCCTAATGGTAATATATATTCACATAAAGGTTATGAAAAACAATTAACATATAATGGATTAATTCAATGTTTTTGGTTAATTCATATCAATCCACAAGATCGTATCATGATACAATCAATTGATTTTGATCTAGCTAATGATTCATTGACATGTAATGAAGATCATTTAACAATTTATGAATCAGTAAATGATCAAAATGATAATATAACATTGTCAGAAATGGATACATTCACTAAACGAATTGGTAAATATTCATATTGTGGATCAACAGGTTTTAGAGTCTTGTCTAGTTCTAATCAGTTATTGTTAATATTTAAAGCACAATCAATTGGAAAACATAAAGGTTTTAATCTACGTTATTCAGCTATAAATTCTAATTTGGCAAATATAGTAGAATCTTCATCACAGTCGTTGATAATGAATAGGACATGTGATTCATCATTTGAATGGAAATGTCCAACAACTCAATGTATATTGAAAATATGGAGATGTGATGGATTTTCTGATTGTTCAGATTCGGAAGATGAACTAAATTGTTTAAGTCCACTTTCAAAAATATCTCTTTTGAATAAAAGACAAAAGAGGTCAGTTTATGATAATGAAGAAAACTGGGGTCGTGTGGTCAATGGTCAACCGGCTCCAAAAGGAGCTTGGGCTTTTATAGTTTCTTTAAGATTCTCTGGAAATGGGGGACATGTTTGTGCAGGCAGCCTGATTAGCCCACAATGGGTAATGACCGCTGCACACTGTGTTCAACCAATGCCAGATCCAAAACGATGGTTTGTAGACGTTGGAAGATATTATAAAAACACTGGTGGTCCTGAAGTTCAAAGAATAAAAATTTCGCAAATTGTTATACACCCGTCTTACAATAAAAGAATTTACGCCAATGACATAGCATTGTTACGTCTACAAACACCAGCTAATTTAAAAACTCAACAGGTTCGACTTTCTCCAGTTGCACGTAGTTCTCATTTATCCAATTTATTAACAGCTAATGTTCAGTGCATGGTTGCTGGTTGGGGAGATACACATAATACAGGTTCAAATGATGTTCTAAGACAAGCAGTTCTTCCTGTTATTAATTATGATCTTTGTAAATCATGGTATTATTATCTTAATAGAGCAAGCTTTTGTGCTGGATACAAGCAAGGAGGAATTGATGCTTGCCAAGGTGATAGTGGGGGTCCTCTATTGTGTTATGTTGGAGGTCAAACAGTTCAAGCTGGAATTGTATCATGGGGTAACGATTGTGCAAAACCAAGAAATCCAGGAGTTTATACTAATGTGGCTATGTTTTTTGACTGGTATTCAAGTGTTTTGTAAACTTTCGTTTTCATGAAAGCATTTAGCAATTTTAATATAATAAATAACCTATCTTTAAGATAACTTTAAATAAGGTTTGAATCAATGAGAAGTTGTCTGGTTTACCATAAGTAATTGTCCAATAATCAGTCTAACCTACGAAAGTTTCTGTTTCTTTTGTCATATATGTTAAAGGTTGTTATTACGTAATCGTGATATTTGCCCATATGATTATTTGAAAGTATCCACATAACAGTAAAAAATAAAGCCTGTAATTAAACTTATCTGATATTGCTATAAACGAATAAAACGACCATTTTAATGGTGTAGTTATCAATTAGACTAATGTTTTATTACATTGATGGTTTGAATTGTTTTTTCTGGTTAGCGTTTTTTTAGCGAGTTAGTTTCCTGCGGGACTGGGTCGCAAATCCCATACCGAACCCTCCAACTTTCTTGTGTTTGGGACCGACAGTAATTCTAAAAGAGCTACAGGCGGAGTTTATTACTCTGATAGTCTGTACTAATAAAATTTTATCGAATTACTAGTGAATAACACTGATTGAAATGAGCTTTAGATTCGTTCATACACTTATTCAAAATCGCTATTTACTTATAAGTACTACTACTACCCCTACTAATACTACTGTAGTGATCAGAATACCAGTGGAGACAATCGACCTTTTACTGAAATGCATTCTATGCTTGAAAACTGTCATACACTACTTGTGTGGATATAAGTAACCCACACCACACTACCATGCCAGTAGGGTAGGTTAAAGATCGATAAGACTAATAGCACTAATCGTATTGTTGATTGATGATTTGTAATGAGTTTTCATTAAAATAAGTTATTTCTCCTCGAAAATCACCATATCCATAACGGAAGGAATGAGTTTAAAACAGCCAGATCTTAAAACTCTGAAACAATTTCTTGCCCCAACGGTTGTCAGTTCCCCTAGAACAGCTCTAATATTACAAAGTTAATACATCAAAAAACTACACACGAAAAAGTCATCTGTGACTGGGTATTTAGTTGATACTGTGCATTTTGTTGACAATTCCTAATCCTTCAATATTATTAGCAAAAAAATCACTCAGAATCACTAAGGTTTGACAAATTATAAGCGAGTAAAATATCAAGTAAGATTTATGTGTCCAAAAGAGACAGTAATTAATTTTTTCATTACATTGGTAAATCCATCATTTTGTTTATAATTACCTGTCACCATTACTATTGTTATTATTATTTTGTAGTCAGTATAGGTGTGTGGAGACTGTTGAAAGTCATTTAAATCATTAAACGAACCATTTTAGATCTCCATTAAAACCTAGAAGCACCGAGAGGCCGTTTGCTCCTGCTATTGGACTCCACAGCAGTGCGCACCCGAAATCCGGCATGCTGGAACCAAACCTATCACCTTTAGACTTGTGTGTCAACGTACAATATCCAAACCACTGAACTGCGATCCAATGTTGCATAGCTCTGATAATCTTTAATTGTTTTTGATGAGTAATTGTCTCACATCCGTCATGGTTTAGCTCCACTGGTCATGAGGGTTATAGCAGTTACCTACCAAAGGCAATGCAAGATTGTCATGCAATACCGTGGATTGATTAAAGTTAGACATTAACACGGTTAGATGCCGTCTTAGTTGTCTATATTTCAGACAACGGTGTACAAGACTGAAGGTGTTAGATTGGATTCCTGAGTGGGTGATAATGGATGCACATTGTTGTAGAGTCCCATACTAGGACGAAACGGCCGTCCAGTGTTTTTCGATAATGACCTAAATCAGATTGGTTCAAGATTTTAACGACAGTATCTTAGAATTGTGTTCAGTTTATTGTGCAAACTTCAATAAACTAAATGTCATTTCAAGTACATTTAAATCAGTCATTCGTCCTTTTGTTTTTCATTCACCCAATTCTCTAAAATTATATAAACTCCCCAAGTCTGGCATAATTATTACGTAGGCCATTTGAATAATTCCATATTGAGATAATTATCACTTCATTACTCTTTATCTTCTATTTACCGAGCGAAATGAAACTTAAGTAAACTCATCAAATCTCCCATAATTATCACAAAATCCATCTTACCAGTTTTCAGACTCTATATGATTACCACTTCATTATTGATAATGTTTATCATTTTAGTTATATCCATCATTAATGTGGATTACCTCACACTCTATCATATCCCAATGTTACATTTCAATACATATATGGCTGTTATTCTGCCTTAATTATTGTTCTAGCTTTATTCAACTTCGCAAAGACAACTAACTGTATGAAATGAAGAGGGTTATTTATTTAGATTGATTTAAACTATTATTAAAAATATATATTAAAGGGCATTATTTTATCAAAACGATTATGAAAATTCTTCCTTTAACAAGCTGATTATGACGGTGTTTTGATCGTGCCCGACCAAATCATCTAGCTCACAGAATAAAACTTCATCAAAATCATTCACCTGAGCTACAAATCTTCTCCACCATCTCACAAGCTGAATATGATTTTTATTCAATAAAAATGTTTAGTTTACATTAAATGGCTCTATCTTGATAATATTTGGTGACCAAATTCATTCAGTTTTGTTGCATCGAACTAAGATTAAAATACTTTGATAAATAATTGAATAGATGAATATCAGGACAGTTTTGATTGATTAAAAGAATATGTCGTTTATTATATTAGTTCTAACGAAGATAATATCTCTCTTAAACAGTTATGATTCAAAATATTTTATCAATAAAATATTAATTTTGATAGTTGAATTCATGAATCGATTGAAGCTAGACCACCATGGAAAACCTGGGAACACTGGACGACCGTTTCGTCCCAGTATGAGACTCTTCAGCAACGCGCATCCAAGATCCCGCCTCGCGGGTTTCAAACACATAACCTTCGGTCTCGCACACGAATGCTTAACCTTTAGACCATTGAGCCGGTATCCATTTGGTTATAAATACAGTATTCCATATACATTTTTTTTATCTCAGAGTTCTTTATGTAATGAAGGGATAACTGAAACATCGATTTATTTTTGTAAACAAATACGACCAACGGTAACTAGTTAAAATCACTTAACTTAATCTTTCGTTGTTCCAATTGTTTCAATTAAAGTTTTCATTGCAAGGTGAACTCAAAACAACTTCAGTAATTTGAATATGTGCTCATATTTTAATTCTTTAACGAAAAGAAAACAATTACACTTTGTTAGATAGATGTAAGAAGTCATAGAATTGTAGTATGGAACCTTGTTTAGCATAAACATTACGTAATAATCTTAGATAAGTGATCGATAATAGTTGTTTTATATGGAAATCAAAACAACTGTCAACCCATATCAAAGTGAAAATCTTCAATACCATCGTCAGCACAGTCCTACTGTATGGAGCTGAAACTTTGAGAACTATCACGAACTTCATCAAAAACGCACAACTATTTATAAACAATTGTCTACAAAATATACCATCTGCAACAGCCTAATGTGGACTAGGACAAACCAGCTTCCAACTGACAAAAAAATTGGAAGTGGATTAGACACATATTGGGGAAATCATCATATTGCATCACGATGACAATGTCAACTTGAAATCTTGAATGGAAACAAAAAAGTGGAAGGTCAAAGAAAACACTACGTCAAGAATAGAAAGCAAACATGAAAAAGATGAAAAGCAATTGGAAAGAATTGTAAACGATTACCGAGGATAGAGTTTATCATTAAAAAAAAGGAACTATACACTGGAAAGAAAGAAATTATGGTATTTTGTAATATTTTGTTTCCAAGTATACTTCATTACAACTGAATGTGATTAATATGACTTAATTTCAACAGTTGAGATCACGAGTCAATTAAAGCTAGACCAACATGGAAAACCTGGAAGCACTGCACGGCCGTTTCGTCCTATTGTGGGACTCCTCAGCAGTGCGCATCCACGACCCGGCCCCGCGGGATTCGAACCTAGGACCTATCAGTCTCGCGCCAGGTGCCAATCAACATATGCTCACTAGTCACTGGTTTCAAGAGATATATCCTGGAGTTCTAGTGAGAAGCAGTGACTAGTGGAGTTCAGCCGGGTCAGTTATGAGGTAGTAACTCACTGATGACAATGGTGATTATGTGGCTCAATTTCGTGGGTTGGTTGAAGTTAGACATTAACACCGTTGGATGCCGGCCAGCTCAGTGGTCTAGTTGGTTAAGCTTTCGTGTGCGAGATTGATAAGTCCTGGGTTCAAATCCCTCGTGGCGCGATCGTGGATGGGCACTGCTGAGGAGTCCCACAATAGGACGGAACGGCTTTCCAGTGCTTCCACGTTTTCCATGTTGGTCTAGCTTCAATTGACTCATGATCTCAACTTTTGAAATTACTACAATCTCCACGAAACTCTTGCTGATACTAATATAACATACTTAATAATTTATAACTACTTTGTTTTTATAAAAAAATTGAATAAAATCTAATCTTATATGATTGAAGTGAAATACTCCATATCCTGAATTAATAATCTAGACAATACAAATGGTTTAAGGGAGTTAATTATATTTCAATTAATAAACAACCAATTAAAATATAAACAAATCAAATATCCTATTTAAATTTTATAAATAATTGCTATAATCTGATTGGCTATTTATTAACCAATGAATTATTTCTATTTTGTTTAAATTCAATTGAATATTAGTTTAATTGTTATGATGAGGAAAATATTACCTTGGATACAATAATTTACAAATTTATATTATACTATTCATACATCAAATGTATTCCATTATGTAATCATGTTTCTACTATTAATTATTCTGTAAAATAAAAATTAAAAAAAACAAAACATTTTTTTTAAAAATGCGATAAACTTAGACGAGTTCAGTGGAATATGATTACGTAATGAGATTATTGTTTTTCATTGTGATTATTAATATGATATTTACTATTAAAAGTAATCAACTTTCTGATCCAAGTAAGTCTATGTAAAAATGTTTATTTAGCAAACTTTGACTATGTTACTGA